GGCTACAGACACCGCATGAAATGCTACAATACTGGACTGGAATGGACTAAGCCAAAGTGGTCAGCAAAGTTCATGGGAAAGTGCGTGACCGGAACAGTCTAATGCAAAGTCCGTAATATTCCACTCCCCTCCCCTCTCCACTGCTGTTCTGCGGCAAGGACTGCGGACGTCGCCCTCAGCCCTGCCATCCTCACCGTCATTTCAGCAACCGATCTCAAGCATAACATATTCAATGTCCGAAAAAATAGTTATGCATCGTGTTCGAGTAAGCGCTACTAATCAGCCGAGTACCGCCGGGAAACGAGAAACAGACAAGACAGCCAACGCCCAACATAGAAACAAAGTTATATCTAGCCTGCGTTGGGGTTACAGCACAACGGCGTGACAGCCGAGTAAGGCCAGGCCGGGTGTAGCTATTAAAAAATAAAGCTGACACCGTACACAATGATAAACAGGAGAAAGAGTGAAGGCTAAAATCAAAATACGGTGAAATTGATGATGAGCAAGGGTTCAAAGTGCGTTCAAAAGCACCGAACTGCAAGCATGCAAACTTCAGAGCTCAACATTTTGGCATAGGTGCACCAGACCAAATTAAGCATCAAATCGTGTGGATGACGCAATCATAGAACATCCAGCACTCAGCTGTGACTCGGAACAGGCTCTGCTCATCGCCAGAGAAATGTCGCTCAATAGTGGAAAATGCCATTTTAACATAGCCTGACAACAATCGCCGCAGAATCCCCACATAATGGACACCGGTATGACGGATTCAGATGCGAGCCAAAGCTACGCTCCTTTCCAAAGTTAAACATCTACCTCACAATGAATGAAGATGAAATGTCAATAACGACAAATGCCATGAAAGCATTAAAAAATAACGCATGAGTTGACAATGCAAAAATTTCACGAAAATGTGCTAAAAGACTATAAGAAAGCACCATAACATCCACTGTGCAATCCACTGTGAACCCAAAATAAAGAGACATTCCAGAGGCAGTGAGAAAAAAAAAACGTGAACATCGAGTTCATAACACACACTGGCAGTGATACGCGGTGGATGCCTGGTGAACGCCGGGGACCTCACACCAGTTCATAGATCGCCAGAAGAACTACTGGACAAGGGCGAGTGGTCAGAGAGACGCCTACAAGACAGTGGACAGACGGTGAGACAAGACAGACGCACTGAGCATTGACCAATGAGCAGAAAAACAGGCAGGCGGACGGACAGACCGGCGGGCAGAAAGCAGGCGGGCGGAAAGCATGGCGGGCAGAAACGCGGACGGGCGATTTTCAAAGTAAGCAGGCTTGGGCTGAATATAAAGCAAAGGTGCGAGTGTCACGAACTGATTTATCTACTGTACAGACAACGAGTGAGCGCCAGGCGGTGCGAGTGTCCGGTGTCGCCAAAAGCCCCACCGGCACACTGCGCCGGGCACACGCCACTTACCAATGGGTTGCCTCCTGGCCGATAGCAGAGCGGAGCAAACGGTCAGAAGCGTTAGGAATGACAGCGCGCACACGCTCACTCACACCCACACACACGTAACCAGTCACAATCAGTGCTTAGTACACACTCAATCGACACGGAGCCGGGCCTGGGATCAGCTCGCTCGGGCGGCGCGGACCACACTGAGACGCCAGCGGCGGCGGCGGCGGTACCGCCCGCTCGACGCCGCCCACCACGCGGCGCCCGACGGAGTTATGGGTGCGGCACGTGGCTCTGAGGCTGTGCGCTCGCCGGCGGCCAGAAAAGCTCCAAAGGTTACCGAGACCGAGTGTATGGGTGTGGGGGAGTGGGTGTATGAATGGACCATAGAGTGCTGAAGAGGTAGGGAGACGCCCAGAGGAGTGGCGCATACCATAACAGACGACCATACATGTCCAAACAGTATAGCGGTGTGCAGTGTAACGGTGTTCTGCCCAAACAGCGGTGACATATAGCAATACATATCAGACTTAACTGAATAAATCACCAGATAAATGTTGTTATCGACGACAAATGTGATTGGAAAATAAACAAACAGTTTGTAGTGTGTAGCGGTAAAGTAAATTACCAGCTACTTTGCACTTAAGTGCCCTTCTCGAAGGTGTACCGATCTTTGCATTTGACAGTCCCATACAGTTGTACAAATGCAAAACATCAAAGGTGGTAAACATAACAATATTAACGCCAGTAATAAGGGCGAATTCTTCAAAAAGACCCAACAGGTTTTATATTTATAGCACCAAACATACCGAAAGTCATTACAATACGCCTGTAAACTCACTAAGAATTAGAATTTATGGCAAGTGTGGTGAAATTTGATAATTCTAGGTGGGTGAAAATTATGAAGTCATTGTGAAAGCAAAGTAGTGTTGTGCGGTCCAGTGGTTTACCCTACTCATGAAAATCGATAAAAGCACATATCAGCCCGCCCCCTCCCTCCTACCATCATCCCTCGCCCCCCCCCCCCCCACTCCAATTCGACACGGCCCGGCCCGCGGCCACCCCCACCACCCTTCCGGTCTGCCACAGGCGCCGGCCATTCATTCACGGAATTCCACAGAGGACGGACCCGCCCCGCCCTCCGACGGCGGCATTCCACCGGCTGAGCCTCTTCCTTCAGTAGTCAGCTGGGTCGGGTACACGCTATGAACCGGCACTACGTTCCTTCTTAGCTTGTGGAAGGTATCTGAATCTAAATCCAGTCGCATGGACGACAAATGCGACACAAACATCAGTAAATCATACGTCAAGATGGCCCAAGTCAATGCCAAAATCACAACAAACAGTAAAATACGATTAGGATGTTTTTGTAGACTACTATGCAAGCATTAGTGCAACTCCTTATCGTAACCAACATCGTTGTCATGAGTACGGCTCTGTAAATTAAGATGAAGACGTGATTAAGACTGACTGATAAGAGCATTTGATTAGATCGAAGTGCTCGACTTGATCAGACACTTAGCTGACCAGAGTGCACCATGTGCCAAACAGTCTTTTGCATCACTCACAGGAACGCACTAGAGTATCAGTAAACAGAAATTGGTCTGACTTGAACAGATATTGCGAATCATTTATGTGAAAGTTACTAGAAAGCGTACCTTATTTCCGTGTTACCAATAATATAGCCGATGGCAAGCAGACTGAATGGCATCGCGTTTGAACCGGGGACTATCGATTGAATACGGCATTATGCTTTTCGGAAGTCGTCATTTCATACCAGACTATATTTGCCGAGCCTGGCATAAGCAAGATAGAAAGGAGCTGATGCAATCAACCACACTGGGCTTTAAATAGGACCGATTGCAGGATCCGGGCATCTTGCATCATTTCCTGTTGTGCCCAGCAAAATTAGCATGATTACAATATCGATATGGTATGATCTCCTAGCAATTATGCTCATATGTGAAGATTTGGGTAATTGATATTTGTAGCACATCTTATGTTTCATCACAAAAGCAGTTATGAAAGTGGTGTGGTACATAAAATGCAGAAAAGATAGGTATAATATCAAGCCATGGTATTGGCCTGACTACATAACATCGTAAGTCGTAATGATCTTCTGGAAAATGGCATCTATAACTCGAAAACCGAGGACTAGAATTCCGACTGCGCTGTTAACAGCAGCCCTGTAAAGCAGGGATGCGGAGCCGGAGCCGGAGCCGGAGCCGGAGCCGCCGGAGCCGGCATATTTTGCCCGGAGTCGGAGCCGGAGCCGGAGCCGTGAAACAATATAGCCCGGAGCCGGAGCCGGAGCCGGAGCCGTCAAAAAAGGGGGCGACTCCGGCTCCTTTTCGTAAGAGGAAACAATTATTTACCTAGTTCGGTTTGACAGTACAAGGCGTAAAACAATGTGGTATTCAAAATAGCCTTGTTATACAGGGTGACACAAAAAAAAACGGTCATCACCAAATTTCGAATAACTTCGGAAGTTTTATGCCGATCATCACCAAACTTCGGCCACTTAAGGTCACACCTATGTAGCATACATCCACCAAGTTTCAAGTCTTCACTACGAACACTTTTAGTACAGTGTGTGTTTTACTGACGCTCCACAATGTGCTCCAGGTGAGCGCCACGGCGCTGCAGGGCGTAGGCACACTTGTATCCGGCGGGCAAAGTTGTCGATAACCCGATGGCTGTGCACTTAACAGAGTGCAATGGCCTCTGGAGACAGTGCTCAGGGGGTGTGCTACTCCTGAAACGTTATTCTTATCGGGTTATCGGCAACTTTGCCCGCCGGATGCAGGTGTGCCTACGCCCTGCAGCGCCGGGGCGCTCACCTGGAGCACATTGTGGAGCGTCCGTAAAATGCACGATGTACTAAAAGTATTCGTAGTGAAGACTTGAAACTTGGTGGATGTCTGCTACATAGGTGTGACCTAAAGTGGCCGAAGTTTGGTGATGATCTGAATAAAACTTCCGAAGTTATTCGAATTTTGGTGATGACCGCTTTTTTTGTGTCACCCTGTACAAATGCAAAAGCAACGTGTACCAATCCCATCGCCTTTTTTCTTCCACCCGTATTTAATTGATCGCATAGGGGATGTACTGAGTAGAAGCCGGAGCCGGAGCCGCCGGAGCCGGAGCCGCCGGAGCCGGATCATTTTACTCGGAGCCGGAGCCGGAGCCGGAGCCGCCATGACATTTCACCCGGAGCCGGAGCCGGAGCCGGAGCCGATTTTTTTCTCCGGAGCCGGAGCCGGAGCCGGAGCCGTCTGAAATTTCCACGGCTCCGCATCCCTGCTGTAAAGACATTGTTCTTCCAGCCCCATCTACGATTTCCCCAGCCAGTAGCTGCGCAGCCAGCACGTTGACCAATATAACCGGCAGCCGGCCATCGCAGCAGGTCTCAGTAACGGCAGCGACCGACCCCACAGAGCCATGGCACGCGCAGGCAGCGGCAGCGGCAGCAGCAGCAGCCAAGCAGAGCTAGCCGCTACGGCGCCGGTCGCTCGTACACACAGCACATAGCCAGCCGGGCGGCGGAGGGGGGGGGGGGGTATGGGGCGCTCACCTGAATCAGTCTCCTCCTCGATAGCCGGACGCCGCGGCAGCTCTCGCAGCACCCGCTCGAAGCTCTCCTCCCTCCGACCCACGTCGTAGGCCGGCGCGCTCTGGGTTTTCTCCAGTCGCGGTTTATCAGCCGGCGGCGGCGGCGGCGTGCGCTCGGCTTGTTCGGGCAGTGATGAGACTGAGGTCCGGGGTGCGGGCCGGGTGGGCTGCTCCGGTACCGGGCCCGCCCGCCGGCGGCCGCTGTCCGCTCCGGGTGGCCGGGGCGGCGGCGGGCGCGCCGGCAGACTGTCGCTGCTGCCCGGCGGCCACAGCGGAGCGGCGCGCACCTCCAGGCTCTCTCGGCCGCCGATACAGGTGAGGGGCCGTGAGGCGGTGAGAGGCATCAGCGGCGACGGCGGCGGGCTGCCCCCGGAGCCCGGAGAGGGAGACCGGGAGGCGGTGGCGCCTCGGCGGCCGGCGCTGCGCAGCTGCCACAACTGGAACAGCACGGCGGAGAGCACATAGAGCGGAGGAGCCGGGCCGGGCACACCACAGCGAGCTGACGGCGGACCGACACCGGCCGCCGGCACACACCGACACACACACAGAGACACCGACATACGGCATGGTTGGCAAACTGTCTGATGGAGTAAGAGACTTTTTGTTTGAAGCTGACTGGAATTGATTTTATTTTGTATTATGAGCTCCTTTATATTTATCCTGAAAGGTAAAATATGCTGAAAACTAGCAGCAAGCAAACTTTGTAATTTTTCATTTAATAAAAACAAACGCTTCTTATGTTTACAACTAAATATAATTAAACAATTTAAAAACGTCATTATAATCGACAACAATGAAGCTCATTATAATTGCCAACCATTGCAAACAGCACATCGAGACAGGAAATGCGGGGCAGTCGAGCGCGTGCAGGGAGGAGCGCACAGAAAGGTGAACAGTCCACACCGACGGCTGAGGTTCCACACCGGGGGCGACAGAGCACTCTAACATCGACAGCGACACGGGTCCGGCGCCACGGAGGGGGAGGGGGGGGGAGCGACGGACGGCGACGCGGCGGCATAACGCAGCTAGGAAGCGATACTAGCATACTGCAGGTAAACGCGTCTACCAATGAAGGATGATGTGAATTTGAGATATGCCCAGTCATACCCTAAGTAGTAGCAATTGTCAATCATTGGTTCATTGCTCCTTTGCAAAAAAAATGCTGTAAAAACTGCTTCTAGAATTTTGAGTACCTTGGTAACCTCAAGCTGCTCTTCTGCTAAATATTTGTTAATTCCGACCCCTCACCTCCATAATCTCAAACTTCCTTGACATGATTCTCCCCTACTTCAGTCCTGCCATGACCTATCGCCATTCGTCACATCTGTTTTCCTTCTCTCAATACACAAACTCTACAGCCCCCCCCCCCACACACACACACACTCCCACATCCCCTTCAGTATCACCCACTACATCCTCCACCCCGGCCCCGCCACCCACCTGTTCTATGGAGGCCGGTGGTCGCCGCGAGGTGGGGCTGGCTCCGGTGACTGTGGCTCGCCGCTGCAGAGTAGGCCGAGGCTTGGGCAGGTAGTGGCGCACGCTGGTGGGAGACGCAGCCGCCGAACCGGCCTCAGGCAGGAACGCTTCGGAGTCCGAGTCACTTGATGGCTGGGGTGTCAGCTCGGCCTCCAGCGCCTCAGGTGATGATCTGCAAGTGAACGGGCAGACGTAAGGAAAGGAAATTAGTGTGGAGAGCACCAGCTATTGCAGAACTAACGGAAAACTACATTGAATGATGGATAATTATAGTGTACTCTTCAGGCGGTAGAGCGACATGACATCACCGCTAAGATATTTCTGTCGTTTGTATAAGTGGTTCAGGAGTTCTAACTCAACGATGTTAAGCGACAGACGAACGAGGCATTAGCGACAGATGATATTCTACTCAATTCGACAGTGAGATATAACTCACAGATTTGGTAGTCAGTTGCTCGCATAACTCACAGTTTGGGCGGCAGTGTGATCTTGGGCAGCGACGCGAGCAGGTCCGGTCTCGGCGACGAGTTCCACCTATACGGCGTTCGCTTCTTGTTGGGCAGTCGGAACTGCTTAAAGTACACCTGGTCAATCAGGTTCGAGTGTTTCGGCCGCTTCTTGACGGTGAGGTAGACGTCCGTGCCGGACTCCTTGTCCTGGAGCAGGTCGATCACCTTGCCCAGCTGCCAGCCCACCTGTGAGAGACAGTCGGCCTTCACTCGGGCTGTCTGGTCAGGAGGTGGAAGACAGTGGCACAGAAGTGGCCACCAGAGAGGAAACTGAGGATGTTACCCTGCAACTACCAGTCATGACCTGAGGAGTCTTATATCACTTGAAACAGTTGGCTAGCCATTGTTTGCTCATCAACGTCTATTGTTTATCTACCACACTGACTGAATGCCACTGGTACAATTGATGCAACCGGGGCGACTCTTCTATTTTTTTTTTTATCACTTCAAGATGTCGTCTGAGTCGTCTGCCACATTATGATCATCTCTGACTTCGAACCTAAAAACACCCGGGACCGTAGTCCCCACTGAAACAGCGCCCTCTTCCTCGTCCCCTCCCCACCACCTCCCCACTTACCACCGTCTGATAGTTGACCTGGACGATCTCGTCCCCCTCCTCCAGCTTCCCGCAGTGGTGCGCCGGCGACTGGAACTTAACCCCGGTGATGATCGGGACGCCAGAGATGGCTCGCACGATGTGTAGGCCCTATGGACGGCAGGCCAGCACAGGATGGTCAGTGAGGGTTTGAGACTGGAGAACAGTGTTGAGAAACCAACATGACTCGTATCAGAGTGCTCGGAGACAAGGAAAACGGACGTGACTAGTGGGGTAAGAATCGCATAAGTGAGCACACAACATATCCGTCACGGCACTGCTATGTTTAAGGAGGACCGTGATAAAGTACTGATAGCAAACCATTTAGTCAGGCGATTTTCAGGGCCGGAAAGTAAGAATAAGCCTCATTCTACCTTTGCATCGCCATTATTTGAGATCATAGCTGTCCTTGTCGAACAAAGTCGACCTGACATTATCCAGCCATCGAGTGTGTCCGCGGTTCCTGCCCAGCCCTTGTAGAGTTGTGACCGCGATATCTGCACTACCCCCAACAACTCTGTGTGTAACGTTGTCGTGTATCGCTCACCAGTGGTTCATCCGGTTTGCGTTTGATGGTCATAATGAGCAGTGGAGCCGGCAGCAGGGATAGAGAGTCACAACAGTCCTGAAACGGCACGGGGCGAGTAGAGAGTCAGAGTATAGAATAGCAGTGTGATCTCAGAAAATGAGTTAGTGTGCAACGATACAGGGCGGGCAGTGAGCCAGAGTCATGTGGGGGGAAAAAGATAAGTCGAATAGTCCTACAATGATAAGACGAGACAGAGCGTCGGAATCCTGTCTTATTTTATCATTGACAGAAAACAGCCGCTATTACTGACATTACTGACGAGGAAATACCACACATGAATGGCGCTTATTATGACTTACAATGAACTCATCACTCAATGAACCAGGTCCACCACTGAATAAGACATTGACGGACGGTTACAGCCAAGAGTCAGGGGAACCACCGATCAACACTCTCTGCCCGTAGGGGGAAGAAACCGCCCAGAAGATAGCCAGAACAAACACCTCAGTTCCAGCGTCTGTCTACATACATCTCGATAAGTTATGGGAACTCAGCAATCAACATAAAACACACAGAGGATCGACTTGTGACACCAACCAGTCACGGTTAGGTCATCGAAAAACGCAACAGTCACTGTGCCAATAACTCGACACTTCCCATCCATACCAAGTACCCCCACCTAGTTTGAATGACTCAGCAATGCGTCAGGCGCCGTGTGCCTGAATCCACCGGCCTGACTCGTGAGTGTGGGATGGGTGAGGGACAATACTTCAGATGGTCATACGAACCCCCCAACCCCCCCCCCCCCCCCTCTACCCCCTAACACACCTGTATGACGGAATCGCACACATCGGCCAGCTGTTTGGAGGCGGCGCGAATGCCGTCCACAGGCCGCACGGCAAAGCTGTCTCGCTGGGCGTTAATCACTAGCTCGATACTGGGCTCGAGGATCCGTGACTTCATCTCCGTGAACTGATCCTGACCGTCGAATGGCGCCCTGACGGTGGAACAGAGAGGGATGAACAGTTATCGAAAACGGATATCTACACGTCAAAAAATTACACTCTAAATACACCTGGCAACGTTAAACATACGGAGGAAGAAACCAAATGCTATGAATGTTATAAACCAAATAAAAAGCGAACGCTAGGCCAAATGCTTAGAAATATACCAGTCAATTCTCCGGGTAACGTGGCTTTACACACAAGGCGAACACTGAGTCTGCAGCGCCGCCCTGGCGGTGACCGGCGATACTAACGTGTTGAGCCACCCGATGATGTCCTTGACCGAGGTCATGGTGTCAGTGACGGCCTCCAGGATGGGCACGGTGACCCTCTGTCTACCCCCGGGCGCCACCGGCGGCTGCTCGCGACACAGCTCGTTATACAGACAGCGGGCCTTGCTGCACAGACGCATCGCTAGCTGCTGTAGGTTTTCTGAGTTGAGTGTGAAGTGCTGTGGAACAGAGTGGGCGAGTTACGGTGAGGTAGGGTCAAACATCAGAGTACCAAGATCAGAGCGAGCTCCAAAGGAACACGATACACGGAACTCTAAAGTCTAAACGGACGTGAAAAGTCGCCCTAAAGATCGGGACATGGGCCAAATGTAGCAAGAGCCGTCACGAGACACACGCTATACACCAAAGCGGGCTCTAACGGATCCCGGGGCACGAAGAAATGCACTCGGAAGCTCAAATGCACCGGTCACACCCACGAAAACCGGTTTACCCCGCAACAATCAGAAAGCAATGCTGACTGACTCACGTGGTGGCGATATTATCTACTCGTTGGCCTAATACGTTACAACGATGCATACCTAGTCTCCTAGCCAGACGCGAGCATGTTAGTTTAGTTTATTTAGTTTAGTTTATTACATAAACACTCACGGGATATGGTGGGCCCATTGACGAGTGAAGTACACATTTCAGACAACAAGTGAGTTGAGGTGTTGGGTGCCCGGACTCAAGAGGTTGTCAGCGCCTACCATTGCTAGAAATGGGACCGTGTTCGCTTAGTCTAAATCGCCAGAATGGATGCATGATGGACAACTGCACTGGGCTATGAAGATGACAATACACTAGTAGGGCCCGCCGACGCCGCGTATCTCACCAGCGTCTGTAGCCGCGATATGGCCGCCAGGATCACCTCCTGGTGCCCGACCCGGGTGATGTGCAGCTGCCGCAGCTCCCCGGGACGCAGCTGCAGCAGCCGGCTGCCGGTAATGTTGGCAGCCTGCAGGTGACGAGCGTACGACTGCATCGCCTCGTGGTCCGACAGGCCTGGAGCGTAGGGAAGAGTGTGGGTTTATTGACATGGAACGGGTACCTATGATGTGTAGGGACATTAGCTTGACCAGTACGTTTTGAACGTCTCAATGTGAAAACATTTCATATATCATATTCTCTGAAATCAGTTTAAATGTGACAATCAGTGACTCACCTTTTATCCATTCTGCTACCTGATCACTGGTCCATGAAGCGACATTCACGTACGCCATGATAGCAAATCACAAGATCGCCTGGAAATGACCAGTGTGCTATGTTAGCAACAGGTAATACATTTGTTGCATAAGTTATTTTACAATCTTAGGTATGCAGCCTGCAGTTGAAAGTATATTGCCTGATTTTCAAATCAAGTGGGATCAGGAAAAGGCTAGAAATGGATGGCAATCCTGACAGATGAATAGTTTGTTCTTCATAAACCATTTAAAAAAAAAAAAATCTTCCAAGTGCCACTCTGGTCCACTGATACATGACACATAAGCCAATAAAATAGCCCATAATATGTGAGACTCATTCAACTGGACATGACCATGACCAGACATATTCTTGGACAGCAGCTCATGATTTGTCATGCTGTCATATAAGAGGAAACAGAAAACTTCAATGTTCAGTTAACCTCTGCCATCTACTCTTGCAAGTATTAGCTTGCATGTAGATTTTGATCAACTACAGCATGGCAAAACAAAGATAACTTCACATACTTGATGAAAATGCACAAACTTAGTGTCAAAGCAGAATACCTACCAAAGAAAGTAAGTAGGCATTTAGCATATTTCACTAGCCCGTTGTCTGTCTGTCACCTTCCACCAGAGGGGGGCAGGGGGGGGGGCAGGGGTAAGGTGGTTGGTATAATGTGTTAGGCTAAGTTTGGTTCAATCATATTTTTGACAAAATCCTTGGTTATGTAATGTGGTTTTGAAGTGTGACATCTGCAGGTAGAGTGACAAGTAGTAAGCTATGTTAGGTAGTGGTACCCCATCAAAGTATTTACAGGAAATAATACCTTGTAATATAGGCATGATTTAAGAGTTCTCAATATTCAATTGGTTAAATAGGTACAAGGTGTAACGAAATTATCCGGACATCAATTTTTCGCCGTATCCGTTCGCATTGCTTTCTTTCTGACGATAGGAGCGTGGAAGTTAGATAAATTCGTATCTATGGTTCCGGTCATCACCACCAGGGTGACCTGACCTTGGGCGGTGACCCATGCCGTCAGTACGGGTCGAGCCACCGCCGGTGTCACTTGGCAGTTTTCGTTCAGAGCAATGACGAGAAAAGAGTACAGCCTCTCCTTTCGCAGCAAAGCTGTGGGGATGGTCCATGGCGGCATGAGCCAGAAGATGGTCTGCCAGCAGCTGGGTATCAGCAGGAGCCAGCTGCACGTCTGGCTGAAGCGTGATAAGCTGGGACTTGGGCTGCAAACCCAGCCCGGCCGTGGCCGCAAGACCGCCCTTCACCCAGTGGCCAAGAGGGTTATCAGGATGGCGACGGAGAAACGTCACCAATCAACTCGAAAACTGGCTTGAAGGCTTACCAAGGCAGGGTACAAGACGTCCCATATGATGATTCACCGCTACCTGCGCAACAACCTGGCCATGCGCCCGTTCAAACTGAAAAGGACGCCAAAACTGACTGAAAAACAACGAGCTCACCGACTGAAGTTCGCTTGAGACAGGGTTGGCAGGGGGTGGCAAAAACTGGTTTTTGCCAGTGGTTTTAACCGGTTTAAACCGGCTGGCAGAAACCCTGGTGGCAAAAACTGGCAAAAACTGGATAAAACTCAGGTGGCTTAAACCACAACTGTTCTAGTTAGGAATGGATCTGAAATGTACAAATGCATTTCTGGATGTTATAGAGATGCACCAAACATTCTGAAGTTTGCCTCATTACTTATCCCTGCTTAAAATGTCTATGCATGTCGGTAGACATCCACCACAGAATGTATTTCCATGTAGGGGAGAGTGGGGCAAAGCTGCCACGGTAGGGTGCAGTGCCATATCAGTGGCAGATACCCCTTCGCACTTCTGATTGTGCAGGACTCGCTCTTGCACTGGCTCATTTGTCAACCTCAAAAGGTGTCTTAGTGGTTCCTTATGGAAAGCCCATGGAAGTGTTTTTGAGTTATAGAACACTTCAACGGTCAATGTCACTTCTGTTTGAAAGCATAAAGCTTTCACCGAATTCTCCTTAAAATGTTTCATGTTCAAATCCATGTCCAGGCATATCATTGTGATGGTTTTTAGTTTTTGCCAGTTTTTGCCACTTTTTGCCGGTTAAAACCGGTTTAAACCGGCAAATGGCATAAACTAGTTTCTGCCGGCAAAAATGCCAACCCTGAAAGCGCATCTGCACTGGTCGGAGGAAGAATGGCGGAAGGTGGTCTGGTCGGACGAGTCACCGTTCGAGCTATTTCATCTTCCGAACCGCCAAAACGACCGTGTGTGGGCGGCCAGCAGCTCGGACGTACCGACGGTCCCCAGCGTGAAGCATCCGGCCAAAATCCACGTCTGGGGCATGTTCAGCTACCGTGCGCTGTCCCAGCTGCACGTGGTGCCCCAAAAAACGACCATCAACGGCGAGTACTATCGGAGCAACATCCTGGCCAACGAATGTCTGGAGGCGCTCAACCGGACTGCACAGGAGGGCCCGGTTTCCAAACGCGCGCTGATGCCCGATCCAAGCCAAGCGGTGTTCATGCAGGACGGCGCACCGCCTCACAGCGCCAAAAGGACTCAAGACTGGTGCCGTGATAACCTCCCATCCTTCTGGGCCAACGGGGTGTGGCCTGGGAATCGCCCTGACCTCAATCCCATTGAGAACTTGTGGGCTATTCTCCAGCAGGAGGTGAATCAGAAGCCACCCGCCACAAGCACGGATCACCTGGAGACACAGGTCAAGACGGCGTGCCACGTGGCGCCGGATCAAAAGCAGTGTGCTGGAGAGTCTAGTGGCTGGGATGCCCCAGCGCATGAGTGACTGTGTTAAGATGAATGGTGGCTACATCGGTAAATAAACGAGAAAGCCCCCGACTGTTTTGTTCTCTAATAAGAGCGGGAAGAATGATGTCCGGATAATTTCGTTACACCCTGTAGGTACCTAGAAATAAGGGTAAATGTGTAGATGAAGTACAGTGTACACTGAAGATAAAAAACATAATCTAACCTTGCCTAAACTTACCTACTGAGCTACAACCATGAACCTACCAACCTAAAACCTACAACCTACCAGCCTACAACCTACCAACTTACCAACTGTGCTTCATCTATACATATACCCAAATAAGCTGCACATTTACCGCATGAATACACACCATTTTAATATTCACAGCACTGCCATGGAAAAACATCATAAGGAACCAAACCAATCCTGGAAAAATTGTTTAACAAGTTAAGTAAAATGTTGCCTAGGGTTGCAACTTGTTAACATGATTATTACTAATATTTCTATTAAAATTGAGCTTATGCTCATAAAATCAGAAATGCTTCTTCAAATCTAGCTCGAAAATAATTTGAAATGGACTTTTTCAATTCATTTCAACCATGAAAAAGGTCATTATCAAGATTATTGTCTAAAATTTGTGGGACGCCAGACTTACTAATAGGTACCTAAAATTGTTTGGAGCCTCAGCATCACTCTTACAAACTAATTAGCTCCTTGTATATTATTCACTAAAAATGAAAGCTTATTTAGTTGATATAATGCAGCTAATCAAGCACCGAAAAGTTTAAAGCGGTTCTGACTTCCAAACTATCACCTGTATAACACATGATACTTGATAGAATTCCAAATCATGGTCTGCATGATAATCAAGTGAACCTATGATCGTTTCAAGGGTCGTTTCAGCGGTTTCATCCAAAGAATGAATAAAAGAAAAGCATCATTTATTGTTATTCAGCAATAGTTCAACGAATTAAAACCAAACTTATATACCATCAGCCAAAAGGCCTGTAGCAGAGCTCTTTGGTTCTTAACCTCTCATCAAAGTCAAAACAGGTTACTGAAATCTCCATTTTGGTAAAACCGGCAAAAACAAAAATATTTAATCGTTTTCCCACAACTAGCATATCCTGACTGATACTGATTCTGATACACAACACGCCGCACCAAAACATGCCAAAACACACCCACTCACCCACTCACACCCACTCAAGGATGATGAATAACAACTGTTTACACAAATCACGGAAGTGGGTTTTTGTGAATTTTGATGACGTCATTGGAACCAGCCTTATCACTCGGCAGCTCGGCACAGCTCAACTCCTGGCTCACCTCAACTAGGTCTTCCGACTGGGTATGGTTGCACGGGGGTCACTTCCCTAAAATTATTGCTAGGCTTCTAAAGAGTAATTCTAGAATACCTAAACCTAGTGCAAAGTTAGTATAAATAACGAGCTTGGTAGAGTAGAGTCCTGGTAGACCTTGGCCCTACCAGGGGCCCCGCTTGCACTTCCGCCCCCCCTCGTCCCTACACACTAACCAGTTCCAACCGATTGATTAGTGTGGACAAGGGATCAGGGACTGGTGGGCTTGGATGAAGGACCTACGGGCTAGGATGAGACTCGAGCGATCGGTTGGTTGGGGCGGGTGGCCGGCTGGTTTGGGCGAGCGACTGACGGAATAGGATGAGGGACTGGCAAGTCTGGTGAGTGGTTAGGTGACCGTGAGAATGTGTAATAATCTATAACCTATATGCAGGGCTGTAGAGTCGGAGTTGGAGACGGAGTCGGAGTTGGAGTCGGTCGGAGTCGACAGTTCTTCCTGGAGTCGGAGTCGGGAGTTGGAGTCGACAAAATCTTACCGACTCCGACTCCAGAGTTAGAGTTGTTGCTGTATGGATCAAAGTCATGCAGTGCACCTGTTTGATTGACGATACTGCCAGTAGCGGCGGAACACCTTAAAAGGGGGGGGGCACTGCCGACTTAGTGGTCCCATTCTTTCCATGCAACGCGGCCATAGGGCTAATGATAGCCCGCGCCCTGCTGGGGGGGGGTTTGAACACCCCCTTGTGGTTTTTCGCGAATATCTCAAAAACGGCGGCGCGGAGCGCCGCCGTTTTTGGTACACCGTATCATACATCAATTCTACACAAGTTGTGAAAATTTCAGACCAAGGTCATTCAAGGTCAGGTCACCAGGTCACTTGAAGTGACCTCACCTCATAAAAAGTTTCAATGTCTGTCAAAACTACACCGAGTGACCGATCGCTTTGAAACTTTCAGCGATTGCTAAGAGTAATAGC